CGCGGCCGGGTCGGAGCCGGGGGCCGGGGCGGCCGAGGAGTCCGAGCCGCGGCGCCGTCTGGAGATCGTCTTCGTATCTTCGGACCAGGACCAGCAGCAGTGGCAGGACTTCGTGCGGGACATGCCGTGGCTGGCGCTTCCCTACAAGGAGAAGCACCGGAAGGTGAGCGGCGCGGGCCTGCCGCGCTCCGGGGCCCGGGGTGGGGAGGGTGGGGGGGCAGCTCCCCGGGGCCGGGTCCTCGCCGCCTCTCCCGGCCCCCGTGGTCCCCAGGCCCACCTTCTCCATCTTGGTCAGGAGCCCGTCGCTCGCTCCGCTCTGCGTCCGCACCCCCATCCCGGGACCCCCATCGAGTTGGGGGTGCCTGCTGCAACTCCGGGGTGCCGGTGCCAGGCTGACGCCCGCGCTGGTAACTTGGAACTCTCTTTGGGTCCCCGGGTTCTGTTTGAACCGGGACTCTTCGGTCCCACGTTAGTAGCTTTGCGTAGCCGTGGGCTCTTCTTTGGGGTCCCTAACTAGAAGTGCGGGGGGGTGTCTTTTCCTTCAATCACTCGACTCCCCGCGGACACTGGGAGAGGGCGCCAGCCCTCTAGGCCCCAGCCAGGAAGTTTGCTTTCTTTCACAGAGAAATCTGCTTTCCTGGGGTCCCCTCTCCTGTGCCTTAAGGACTCCAGGGGACCGAGTTCGAGGTTAGGCCGCCCCTCGGCCCCGCTCGATGGAGGCGGCTGCTGACCATAGGTTTGGGCGAGAAAGGAGCTCAGTCCCTCTCCCCATTCTTCCTCCTTTACCCCCCCCCCCAACGTGGCTGAATTATTAGCCACCAGGGAGCTTTTCATTGTCTGGCTGTCCAGCTATCCCCCCAAGCCCGGGAACACACAGCCCCGTCGTCCTGGTCCATCCCTTCGTTTGTCGGTGAGCAACTGTCGTCCTGGCCATCCCCTAGGCTTAAATGGAAGACTGAGCCACACGTGCAGATTGCCCAGAACAAGGAGGACTTGGGGAAAGTCCCACTTCGCTGTCCACTTCTCATTCCTACCAGTTCTCTTGGTGAAATTAGTTTGGGTTTCCGAGTGTGTTATGTTGTTGGAGAAAGATGTCTGTCTTAATAAATCAAATTCACGGCTTTTGGTAATGAGTGGTAACAGATAAAAAAGTTTTGGAGTGCTCTCGCTTAGTGTGTTTGTGCAACGTGTCAAGCCATCCCCCTTCCCTTTCTGAGGAGAAAAGCTAATCTGGGGACACTTAGGTTCCCCTAGGGAGATGGTAACATTGGCCATGTGTTTCTTTCATGTGTAAAGAATCTTGAGAAGTATGATTTAGATTTAGTGAGAGCAAAAAGCTTATACTGTGACCCCAAATGTCTCCAGTAAATCATCCATCCCAAAGCAGTGTTAAGGTTCAGACATGAGATTTCAAAGTATGAAATACAGTCTAACAAATACAGTTTGTAAATCTAACATTGCCAAGACATGGGCTTACTAACCACACCGAAGCAAGACTTTGAGTTCTAACTACTCTCTGGGTTATTTTGCCTGTGTTTGCCTTATATACTGTACAGGGTATGAATATTCATGGCTAATACTTTTTGCTTAAAAATATGGAAATTCTTTGTTTTCCTTGGTGGTTTTTTTTTTGGGGGGGGGAAGAAATAATGTTCAGAAAGATATTTATCAAAAAATAGTTTCAAGTTTATGGCAGGTTTTTGTTATAGCCCAAAGTTTGTTTAAAATAATGTCCTATTGGGCAACACAAATGATTACTAGCTTTTGAAAACCTGTAAGACTTAAGTCCTATTGTGTGTTTTTTGTCTTTTGTGTTTTTTGCAGAAGGGGAAATAAAAGTACTGGTTAGTAAAAATATGGAGATGTTTTGGAAATGCTTAAAGCTTTTTCCAAAAAAGGAATGTGTTTGCTGTGACAGGGGCCATGCCTCATTCTCTCTACCTTGGCTAGTCCTTTGGCATGAAAAAAAAAAATGTTATGTAGGCCTGGTCCTTGGCCTGCTGATTCCACCAGTGCAGGCTCTCATTTGAAAATAGAGCTCAGAATGCTAAACACATTAAATAAACCATGATGTCTTTTTAGTAGAGCTCTGGCTCAAGTGGTAGAGCTGTTAACCTTGAGAGGAAAAGCTAAGGGACAGCACCCAGGCCTGGAGTGTAAGCTCCAGTACTGGCACACACAAAATACATTTTTTTCTTGTGGTGTTAGGGATTGAATCTAGGGATCTTGTTCATGCTAAGCATGTGTTGTACTACTGAACCACTTGGCTCAAAGTTTTGTTCGTTTTTGACGTGTCTAAAAAGCCTGGGTTTGGGAAGTAGCGCTGTGGCTCAAGTGGTAGAGCGCTAGCCTTGAGCTGTAGAGCTCAGGGACAGCGCCCAGGCCCAGAGTTCAGGCCCCATGACCGACCAAAAAAAAAAAAAAGAAAAGAAAAAGAATGGCTGGGGAGGTGGCTCAGTGGTAGAGTGCTTGCCTTGCATGCATGATGCCCTGGGTTTGATTCCTCAGCACCACATAAGCAGAAAAAGGCAGAAGTGACGCTGTGGCTCAAGTGGTAGAGCACTAGCCTTGAGCTGAAGAGCTGAATGACAGTGCCCAGGCCCAGAGTTCAGGCCCCACCGCCACCAAAATAAAAATAAAAAGACTGGGTTTGAAGGAGGCTTGTGCCCTGTGATGTTAGTTAATAGGCCACTGAGAAGCATTATTTTTTTTTAAGTTTTTTTTTTTGGTTGGTCTTGGGGCTTGAATTCAGGGCTGGGGCACTATCCCTGAGCTCTTTTTGCTCAAGGCTAGTAGTGCTCTACTACTTTGAGCCACAGATCCACTTCTGGTTTTTAGGTGGCTAACTGGAGATAAGAGTCTTACTGGGACTTTGCTGCCTGGGCTGGCTTTAAACCATGATCCTCAGATCTCAACCTCCAGAGTAGCTAGGATTATAGAAGCATTCTTATTTGTGGTGAAATACACTGGGGAAAGGGGATCCAGCTGTTTTTCTGGTGGGATCATACTATTGGAAATGACAAAAGCTATATACTCAATTTGATTGTGTGTGTGTGTGTGTGTGTGTGTGTGTGGTGCAGGTGCTTTTCCACTTGAGTCACATTCTCCAGCCCAAAAATCATATACTCACTTTGAAAGGAATTATTTTCCCTCTTGAAACCGAAGAGGTGTACAATTGACTTTTGCTTGTTTCTTTCACTTTGAAATCAGGGTGTATAGAAGTCTGTGGTTTTGTGACGCTAATTTCACCTTAAGAATGGTGCCAGGGCACCCCCAGTTCTTTGCACTGTATGCTGAACACTTAACTTTTTGTTGTTGGACTCTCTCCACGCCATTTTGCCAGCCATAAAAATAGCTTTAGAGAAGGGAATTTTGTTTTACAGTGAAGGGAAACCAAAGTTCCAGATTACATTTTTTTTTTAAAAAAGTTCTTATTAACATTTGTTCTCTAAAACCATTTGTATATGTCTTCCCATTGGGATAACAAAGGATATGGTTCTAATTAGTTATTGGCTGGCATTTCTCTAAGAAAATTGAAAAATTATGGTAGAGAAAGAAAATGCTGTGTGGTTTTTTTTTTCTCTTTTTTTTCTCTTTTATTAATTTCTCCTTTATATAGTAAGAAAAGTCTGGGGATGACCATATATGTTCATTCTACATGTTTCCTGGCTCCTTTACCGCTATTGGAAATGTGAGAAAACCCTAAGTAGAGGGATTCCAGCCGTTTTTTTCCCCTTGTAATTTGCTGTGGAAAGGTTGTCCTGTTTCGGCTTGTCTTAGTGGTAGGTACAAGAGTAATTGATGCTTTTTTTCTCCCTTTTGCTTCCAGAACACACACATCATTATATCACTGTATAGAAATTATAATTAGATGATAATAGAACTTGAGTGCATTTATGAGAGCAGTTTTGTCAGGAAACCTATAATCGTGAATTTAAGGCAGTTAGGTTTGTTGGTGGATGTTATTCAGATTTCTGAAGAGAGTGAATGTGATGAATAGTTGGCAATTGGTGATGATTTGAACTTTGGGGATTTGGCCAGTTCCTTTCAATGAGTATTAAGTTATTCTGTTGTCACAACTGGAGGACTCATCTCCAGAATCAACGGAGGAATCACTGACATGAACAGCAGTTTTGGTTTGAAAGCCATGGGATCTAGCTTTGTTCCACTGGGTGTCTGATGGAAACACTTGGTAATTTGGGGTGTGCAGATTATTGAGTTCTGCTGTAGTCCTAGAATTTCCTACATGGCAAAAAGGGGAAGAGGAAGTTGGGGTGGGAGTCCAGTCTCTGACCCAGATCTGGGTTTACTTGCTTTGGACAGAGCAGCGGGAGCCCTTCTATAGCTACCTTGTGTGGGCTACTTGTGCTGGCTGCCATGGATGGATATAAAATGAATATATAATACTACTGTCTTTTAAAGTTGTGGGAGATAATGGATAGTAACTGAGCTCCGGGTTTTTATTTGCCAGTGAAATGAGGCTGCTGATCACTGAAACCTAGACTTGGTCAAGGGCAACAATTTAAAGATGACCAGGCACCCTACCTGAGGGAAATTATGGGCTTTGGTGGCTTCCCAAATATGTTAGACATGTCTTCCACTGTCCCTGGTTACTCAGTTTGGTCAGTGTGGAAGGTGAAGGGCCATCCCCCGCCCCCTCTTTTTTGGCAGTGCTGCAATTTGAAATCAAGGCTTCACAAGTGCTCAACAACTTGGGCCAGACCTCCAATCCTTTTTGCTCTGGTTTTTGGGAGAGGAGGTAGGCACTTGCTTTTTCACCAGACTGGACTGAAAGATATTGATACTGACTGCTGTACATGACAGTTGTGTACCACCATGCCCAACTATTGTTTGAGATGGGGAGCCTGACAAACTTTTTTTTTTTGGGGTCCGGTCGTGGGGTCTGAACTCTGGGCCTGGGCACTGTCCCTCAGCTCTTCAGCTCAAGGCTAGCGCTCTATCACTTGAGCTACAGCGCCACTTCCGGCTTTTTTCTTTTTGCTTATGTGGTGCTGAGGAATCGAACCCAGGGCCTCATGCATGCAAGGCAAGCACTCTACCAAGCCAACTTCCCAGCCAGAGCCTCACAAACTTTTGACCTGCTTGTCCTTATATCTCAATTCTGCCAAGTTCTACCTCCTGATTAGGATTACAGGTATGAGC